TTTCTCCGCATCCCTCTCGAGCGCCCCCCGTGGGGCTGATCCTGGCTTCAGGACCCCGTTCTCCTTGAGGATAGCCGCCTGGACTGCATCGCTCACTGTCGCCAACTCCACATTCTGGTGCTTGGTGGTCACCGCCTGCATGTAGGGCGACATCATGAGCTGCACCTTGCAGTGCGTCGCCGCGGCTCCCTCCTTCTTCTTGTCGTACCAGCAGTCCCGCACTCTGCAGTACCTCACCTGGTCCTGGAGCTGCGTTATCGCCGTCTCTCTGGGCTGCCCCAGCAAGTGGTTCCAGTACAGCTTGAGGGTGGCCGAGTGCGCCTCGCTCAGGGTTCCAAGATTGGCCAAGTGCTTGAGCATCGCCAGGAAGATGTGCGGCCACGGGTTGCCGAACGTGTGGTTCTTGCCTGCCTCCTTGCAGGCTTCCGAGTAAGCCTTGCCCGCCTGCTTCATGGCAATGACCATGCCCGCGCCGATGGGGACGATCCAGCAAGTGAAGCAGGCGCCTGTCAGATCTGCGAGCTCTCGGGAGTTCGTCAGCGAAAGGCGAGCCAGCACTGCAATGAGCGCCATCAGCACTCCACCCTTCTTGCCCTGGAGTTTCAAGGTCTGCTGCTTGATGTCCTCCAGCTTCTCGCTCTTGGCGTCCTTCTCGCCGTCTGCGGACGCGTCGCCCTTGCGCTTGGGCCCGACCAGCGCCCACTCTGGAGCCTCTGCCATCTTGATGTCTGCTGCCGCCGCCATTCTGCACCAGCGGGAGGGTACTGAAGTGGCTTCGGATGTGGGCACAGAAAGCCGAAGGATTCACGTTCAAGATTTGGGCCTCACACAACGGACATGTTGTTACATCTGGCTGAGAAATTTCACGGAATGTTGAGCTTCTCGCCGCTGAGCACACCCCTGTTTGAAAGGCATCGCATACATGGTGGTAGGCCGAGTTGCGGGATTCGAAAATCGTCTCACAATTAAAGCACTGGTTCGTAAGGACAGCCCTCGCAAGAGGCGCCTTTAGGCCGTGGAAGTTGTGTAGATGGACTAGTAACTGTCTCATAGTGTTGAAGGTCCGCTCGCAGCCAGGAACTTCACAAACGTGAGCGCCGGTGTGCTCAAGGCCCCAGCCAGAAGAAAGGACCGTGTTAGAACCAGCACTTACCATTGAAAAACCTGGTGGTGGGATTTGTACACTTAACCATCGTGCCCTAATACACTTGACGTCAAACCGTAAGAACCAGTCAACAATGTCAGGGTCCTGGAAGAGGTTGAGCGGGGAGCTGTTAAAGTCTTGGATCATAGTATACGCCTGATCATCTTCATCTGCTAAGGACTCTATATCCGACACAAACCTACGCGCCCATGGACAAGCAGCTTCGGTGAGCCTCTGATCCTCGCCAACAATGGTCACGTTGTTGGCCTTCTCCACACGCATGGTGCCAAGCAATGCCCCCCACTCAGAGACGTGCGCGTCTGGGTCCTCGACCCAGCGCTGATACCAACGGATACGCCTAGATCTCAACTCAAGTTCCAGAGGGCCAATGCGCCAGTGCCGCAGAACCGCTTCATTCTTAATAGGTTGCTTATGACCCCCCGCTTCGAAAGTAGCTGCACCCCTCATCGCTTTTCGCCCATGCAGGATAATGCGCGACTGAAGTTTAGCAACTTGGACGGGGGTAAAAACATAAGCCTCAAGGCCAGAGACAGCCGGTCCCAGGATCTTGCTCAAGAACACCGCCCTCTTTTCAACGTACGGGATTTTTTCTTGATGCCAGTAACGACCCATACTAGCGTATCCAGAATCGACCGCCTCTAGCCTCTTCCCAAGCTCCGTGGAAAAAGACCCGTCCGCCCTGATCATTCCGCCCAAGTACTTGGCCATGTCGTTAGGCTTGCCCGCCAGTTGTACTAGTTTAGCTCTAGCTCGACGACGCCTTGCCTCGGACCCAGGGCCGAAGTAAGCCAAGACAGACTCGTTTTTAGTGGGGTTCAGGGTGTAGTCGTGCTCCAGGAGGCAACGGGATAGCATAGCATCATAGCTGCGAGATTTACCACCCAGCAAGTCCCCTTCATCGACAATGGCCTCCTGACCCACAACACCTCCACTTCCTTCACTGACTAGCTTACGCACCGCATCGTCCACGTGTACATGAAAAGAGAGGTCCATTTCCATGACACCGTCCTCCGTGGGTAATTAACTACACACCAATCTGCCGTACCATCAATCGCTGCATACTGCTCCTGCGCCTGCTGGAAGACCCCCCCAATGTCCCGAATAAAGATCTTGACCGCCCAAGGGTCACCCTGCAAAGCTCCAACACGGGGCCGAGCGAAAAAAAAAACGCCGGGACCAGCAAAACAGACTGCCGCCGTCCTGAACCGCTGCTCCCCGTACCTCGCCTCCTCCTCCTTCATGAAAGAAAGGTTAGCTTCCGAAAGGGCTTCCCAAGACGTGCTACCAAATGCATTGGATATGTCCTTGTGGTCTGTGATGTGTTGTATGCCTAATCTTCTTAACCTCCATGCCACAGACTGCTGGATCATCATGGGGGTTTCCCGTCGACGGTGCGCAATACACCCGTGCGAGAAATATGGCTCCTTGTTTTTTTTTCGGCAGGCTGAATACCGGTGGCCATGAAGGCCTTTCCAAAAGGGCAGAGTCTGTGAATGACCCGCTTCCATGTGATAGATACACCCATAGAGAGATGCCATGATGCAGGAGTATGCCGTACCCTTCGAATGCCGTGTGTGAAATAGACCAAGAAAGTGCGCGCGAGGGTGAGGTCAATGTTGGGGTGCTGGTAACCAACTCCTCGGAATCGTCTGGACGTCCGCCTATAGGGGTGGAGCAACATCCAAAAAACTTCAAGCGGTAGCGACCAAGGTGGTACTGCTCGCCTTTCACCTGCTCTGCGAAAATGTAGGGCGATCAGCTGAAGTTTTTGCTTAGCCCAGGAGAGACCTTCCGAAGACCAGGGGGCCCGACACTCGTGAGCCTCAATACCCGTTTCGGGATGATAAATGAACTTGTCAACCTCCGTCGGCCAGTCGATGATGTCCGCTTCCATCCCACCCTCTCCTGCAGATAGTTGTAACCTGTGCTGAAGGTCGGATGCACATGGCTTAGCTAGGATAGCACGGCGATAGTTGCGCTTGCGGGGCCCAGTCCCGCGCCCTGATAATAGCCTTGCGAGTCTGGCTGCCTCAGCGGCACGACCCTTAGAAAGAGCATAATATAATTCATCCGTAACATCTCGACGCCAAAGAACAAGATACCTGCGTCGTAACCTCCTAAGGTTATTGGACAACTGCTTCAACTTCGCTGTCAAGATGGCATCGTTATGCTCGTCCGTGCTGTCATCTAGCTGTTGACGAATCCTCCTCCTACTCGCCAGCACTGCCTTAACATGATCTGCTCGTCGTTTATACCCGGGTGCAACTTCTGGTTTGCCCGTGAACCGTTTTTCTGCTTCCTCCCCCAGAATAGTAAGCAAGAAGCCCCAAGGTGCATTAGAAGACTGCTCCTCTCTAAATATCTGCTTCCACCTGTCCTCCTCCTCCTTCATGCGCTGCTCAACTGCATTCAGGAAGTCCGCACGCTGCGCTCCAGTACGCAAGGAATCCATGAGTGTGTCCATATTCCATCTAACACGACGCGGCACAAACCCGATTCTCTCGTTGGCCGTGATGTGCGATGGTAAGCCTAACGTATCTGTATGATCATAAAGAAGACGTGCGTGAACGGGTAGGTGGTCCCGAGCTGCCTTAGTACTAATGACTTGGAGGGACTTGCCTAGTCTACGTAATGGCCCAGCCGTGGATACGGAACCCAAAGCACAGCGAGGTACAACGATGAAGTCGATCTGCGACTCCGCGCCTGTGCTGCTAAAGAAGGTAGGACCTGCCCCAACAAACGTGTTGAGGGCCACCATGTCGAGATCCTCCAAAAACTTAAGCATGAGGTTAGCCGAGTGCTTCTGTTGAACGCGTGGTGCCTGTGCGCCTATACTAGTGGACTCGACATCATACCATCGCTCTGTCCCTTCCAAACGGGCTTGGCCGAAGCCTGAGTTTAAATCAGCACATATTATCGGATAGCATCTGTGTGAACTCCAGATGGGGAGGTCGCGTAGCCAACGAATCAACACGTCACAGGTTGTGGCGTACGCGGGGTACAATCGGGGTTGGCTGGGGACGGGCGGGAAGTAGACATTTACGATGCCGAAATCGAAGACCTTAGACTTAGCTCGAAGCGCAAGCCCTCGCCCTGCAGCAGGTGCAACCCAATGATGTGTAATAGTATGCCGTGGTATGCGACTGCCTAACAAGATCGAGCACCCGGCCGATTTATTAGAATAAGGCCCCCTTGCCCATCCCGCCTCCAGCATCCACCGTTCACCTTCCCTCCTCCAATCTGCAACCCCCGCTGGCCCATACCTCCTCGCCCCCGTCCCATTGAGGCAGATGAAGTCCATGTTGCGAGCCTGCGTCGCGACATCAACCAATCTGTCGAGGGAGGCCGCATGAAGTGGATTGTACTGCATGATGGAAACGCTCGAAAACCTCCTAGCACTACTCTCCCACGGCCGGCGGTCACAATTCATGTGCTGTGATATTCCTGGTAGATCTTTCACGAGAAACCAAAGAAGAATCGAAGCAACCACACAAAGCGCAACAACATGGTGCGTGTGCATGTGCGCGCAACGGTGAATAATACAGTATCGGATATGCACCCTGTGCTTGGGCGCTTGGGAAAAGGAGGAGGAGGAGGAGGAGCAATTTCGGAGCCCTGCCCACCCCAGCCTGCCACGCGCGCGCGCGCCCGGCCGGCCGCGTGCCGGGAAGGGGCTCCACGGGGCGCGCGCGCGCGCGCGGCGTGCCGACCCGCAGCGGCTCCCCCGCCACGAGGGGCGCCCCGCGTCTCTCCGTTGTCCTTCTGCTCCTTCCAGTAGGGCGCCCCGCTCGCTCGCTGGCTCCACGGCGCGCGCGCGCGCGGCGTGCCGGCTCGCAGCGGCTCCCCCTCCACGAGGGGCGCCCCGCGTCTCCCTGTTGTCCTTTCTGCTCCTTCCAGTAGGGGAGCAAGAAGTGACAGAGGCATACAAAAGCTCGGAGGGCCGCGCGGATCTCGCGGGTCGGCGCTGGGGCCCCCTGCCTGGCGCGCGGAGCGCGCCAGGGGCGGCGCCGGAGGCGCCGCCGGGGGGCCCCAAGCGCCGGTCCGAGAAATCCGCGCGGACCTCCGAGTTTTTATGTTGATGTCTTCTTTTGTTCCCCTATTCAAGCAGTCGGAGGTGGACATACCTCCTACCCTGACACGTCGATCAAGGAACTGGCCGTTTTCGGTTCGCGAGAGGGCGTCGCGGCCGTTATCTTTGCGGGTTCAGGTCCGTCGGTTTCGGTCCCAGGCCGTTTCCACTAAAGGGAGGTTTGCTAAAGGGAGGTTTGCCTACCGCCGAAGCAGTGGCGAAGCGTCCTGGCTCGCACATAGGCCCACCAAAGAACGCTCCGAGGACCACCTCTGTGGTCTGCGTGAGATGTTCTTGGAACACGTCTGGCTGGGGCCGTCTTGTCTTAGGCACATCGGGCTTGTGTTCCAAGAGCCTTGTGTCTGTTCCCAGAGCATGTGTGGCTTCTGGGATCATGTCGTGGTAGGCCTATCGGAATGCCGGGACGGTCGGTCCCTGCTCAATCCCTCCAGCGGCCGCGCCTCGACTCCCCGCCGGCCGCGAGCCCACACTCGCGCCCTCGTTCTCACTTGCGTTGCGACTTCAAGGGGGCTCGTCTGTCCCGAGGGTGGCGGTCCTTTCCCGATGTCCGTCACATGGCCGACGCTGGTTCGACGTGGATCCGGCGTGGGTTCGACACAGGTTCGACGCGGCTTCGTGGAGACGCGGGTTCGACGCGGATGACGTCGCGATGTGACAGAGGAGGTCCCCCGAAGATGCAACATAACCTCCTAGGTTCTTTTGTGAGGGGCAGCGACATGGGGGGGGCCTGGCGCAGAGGGAGGAAGTATAACGCCCAGCCAGCAGGCGCGCAGCCGAGGTTGCTTTCAAGTTCTGCATCAAGTCCTCAAGCGTCTCATAACCCCACCTGCCCATCCAGAAACGATGCCCATGCGAGTTGCCTTTTGTCAGGACAGTGCAGAAGCATGCAGTGGAACAAGTGTCGTATCAGCCTTATCATATTCAGGATGGGGACGCGAGGAGGAGGAGGACGAGGAGGACGACAAGGAGGGGAAGAACGACGAGGAGGAAGAGGAGGATGACGAAGACGAGAAGAGGACTGAGGAGGAGGAGGGGGAGGAAGAGGAGGAGGAGGACGAGGCTCTCTCTTGGCGTCCTCTTGGAGGCCTCTTGGGAGCCCTTGAGGCATCTTGGGACACTTTTGGAGGGCGTCGATCCAAAGACGAGGGGTCTCCCATGTTGTTCCTCCCGCTGGGTCAATCAAAATCGCCCCTTAGGGCCTTTGTGCGGCCCTCTTGGGGGGTTCTTGTATTGCCTTGGGGCCACCTTGGGGGCCTCTTGGGCCTCTCTTGAGGCTCTCTTGGGCCATCTTGGGGCCATCTTGAGGCCTACAAGCTGCATCGGAAGCGAAACGGCGAGAGGGCAACAATCACTGTTTTGTCTGTTGTTTCTGTTGAAGGAGTTTGGCCTCTTGGGAAAGTCCAGGGGAGGCTCCGCAGAGCACTTGGAACTGTCTTGTGGTCCTCCTGGGGCCTCTTGGAAGCATACCGAAAGCCATCTTGAAACATCTTCGGCTAGCTTTAGCCATTTGGGGAGCTATCTTGGAGCATCGGGGGCCTCTTGGAGCCATTTTGGGCATTCTTGGGCGCTGCGACCGCTCGCCACCCCCCCCAAGAACCTCGGTGAGTGGAGGGAGGAGGGAGGGTGCCCCTCCCCGAGGGGAAGATGGGTCTCTGGGGGAGGAGAGGAGGACGTCCTTGGCCCACCTGCGCCCAGGGGGCCGGTGGCTGGTGGGACTTGGGCGTCCAAGGGCCTTGCACCCTTACCGCGAGTCCCTCTGCTCCCCACCCGGATGCAATTCCTGGGAGGTCACATTCTATTTTCGCCCTGGTCCGAAATCCGGCTTAATCCAGCTTAATCCCGCTTGATCCGGCTGAATCCCGCTTAATCCCGCTTAATCCGGCTTAATCCCGCTTAATCCGAGGCCCACTCTTGCGCAACGGCCCCCCAATTGGGGCGTAATCCTCCTTAATCCTTCCGATGAAAACCTCCCAGTAGTTGCCTCCCGCTCCCCCAGTTGTCGCCGCCCCTTGCTCTGCCAACTCCGCCTCGGCCGGGGGGGGGTCCCTCCGCCGCCGCGGCGCTGCTCTCGGCGGCGGCGCGGGGACATGGCGGAGGTCCTGGACGAGGCCCGCGACGACGACGACGACGACGACGGCGCTGTCGTTCTCGGCCAGGGCTCCAGCTAAACGGCGTTTTGGCGGTTTCGTGAAACGTCTTCGTTCTGGGTTCTTTTCTGCTGCAGATGTGGAACGAAGACACAAGGAGGGAAATCGAAAAGAGCACGACAACGGAAAACACTGGTTAGATCGAGCCCTGTTCTAGCCTTTTTCCTGGCCTTCTCCCAAACCTCTGACGATTCGTTGTAATTAGCATGAGCTGTTGTTCCTTGATTCATTGGCTTACGCCGCTCCGCCGACCCCTTGGGGCGGCGGCAAGAGTGAACGACAGAATTCGCAGAACGCGCGCGATCGTTGGGCAATCTTGGAGTTTCGCCTGTCCTACGCAGCGTGTGGGGTTCAAGGGGGTGCCTTGTCGGAGATTGTTTTGAACTTTCTCGTGGTCTTATGTGAGTTTCTTGGGGTCTTCACGGGGCCTGTCCCAGGCCTCCTTTTCCACCTCCTGGATAGGCTCGGGGATCGTTGAGACCCAGCTGGGGTTGCTTCCAGCCAGAAGTTCGAAAATGGATCCAGCTGTGTCGACTAGGAGCTTCCTGAAGGCCCAGAGAGGGCGGTGAGCGCCCAAGGGAGTCTCATGCCTCGAGCCTCGATCCACCCCGTGTTCATTCCTTTGCGAAGGGGAGGCACCTCCCAGGGAGGTCGATCCTCATCCCCGACTTTCGGCGGTGGTCCCTGGCACCGAAGACAGTTCCTAGAGGCTGAACGAAAGACCACGAACATCTGTGAGACATCGGCGGCGACGACGAAATCTTCTTTCTTTTTGTTTCCTCTTCCTCCTCCTCCTCTTCCTCCTCTTCGACCTGGGCTGCGGGTTAGAAGTTACATGCCTCAAGTGGTACTTGGGTCTTCTTTTGAGCTTCTTGGCGGCCTCTTGGGGCCTCTTGGGGGGCCTCTTGGGGTCCTCTTGGGGCCTCTTGGGGGGCCTCTTGGGGGCCCCATGGGCCCTGTTGAGCGCCTCTCGGGCCCCCCTGGGGCCGTTTTTGGCGGAAGGTTCGGATTGTTGATTCAGGCTCCTCCTCGTGGGCCCCTCATTGGGCCGTCTTTGGGCACTCTTGGGCCATCTTGGGAGCCTCTTGGGCCGTCTTGACGCCCTCTTGGGCCGTTTCGAGCGCCTCTTGGGAACCTGTCGGACCGTTTTGGGGCAGTCTTGGGGGACCCTGGGGCCGTCTTCAACGCCGTGAAGGGCGACAAAAGCGTGCAGGATCAAAATATAGGTTTTCCCATCGGAATTCGTCAATTTTGGCCTCTTGGGCCCCTCTTGGGGATGCTCTTGGAGGCTTCCTGGGCCGTCTGGGACTTTTCTGGGGCCGTCTTGGGGCCATCCTGGGCGCCGGGGCCCTCTTGGACCGTTTTGGGAGCCTCTTGGGCGGCCCCAGAAGCTGTCGTGGACCTCCAGAAAGAGCCTGGGAAGGGCCCGACCCCCCCGGGTGAGCTCTGGCCGGACGGCCACCCCCCCCCCCCTTCCAAGTCGACCAGACCAGGCTCCAGGGGGAAGGGTTTGGGGAGGGGGAAGCATCTCACACGCCGGTGATCCCCAAGGGGTCGGCGGATTTCGGTTTCCGTACCCGTTTTTGGGCGCAAGGGCCCTCAAAAGCGGGTCGTGGCCGAAAGGCTGCCCCCCTGGGAAGGGGTGGGGACCTTTGGGGCTGATCGCGGCCCGAGAAGCAAGCTGGGCGAGGTGGGCATCCAGAGGCGTCCAAGCGGGGGGGTGGCGATCTCATTGGATCTTGGTCGGGCGGTCGCGCGCTCCTCTATGGCCTGCGGCCCCCCGCCCCGACACCTCCTTCCCCGCCCGTTCGTCCCTTCGCCTCGCCGTCGCCCCGCTCGTCCCACCCAGCGATCGAGTCGGTGTAGTGGGGTCTGCAGTTGGCGGCGTCCCGCCCGTCTAGTGTATTGGGGGTAAGAAGGAGGATGAGGAGGAGGAAGAGGAGGGGGAGGAGGAGGAGGAGGAGGAGGAGGAGGAGGAGGAAGAGGAGGAGGAGGAAAAGGAGGTGGAGGAGGAGAAGGAGGAGGAAAAAGGAGGAGGAGGAGGGAGGAGTAGTAGGAGAGAGAGGAGGAGCAGGAGGAGGAGAGGAGGAGGAGGAGGAGGAGGAGGAGGAAAGGGGGTGAAGAAAGATGGAGGAGGGTGAGGAAAGCAGGAGGAGGGCGGAGGAGGGAGGAAGGAAGAGGAGGAGGAGGATAGGTGAGGAGACAGGAGGGGTAGGAGGAGGAGGCAGGCGATTGAGGAGGAAGCGTGTGTGAGGGACCGACGGGGGGCACCACAGTGTCGCTCACGTCGAACCTGACACGGCCAATCCTGGGCCCAGGTCGGGGCGCACGCCTCGCTGCCACAGGCCAGGCGGAAAGCCTGCACCCAGGGGGACCGGCCTGGCCAGGCTCGCGCGCCGGGCGCGTGTGCAGCTCGGCAAGCTCGTGATTGCACGTTCGGAGACGTGTGCGGTCGGGAACTTTCGGATATCACCTCCTGTCTCTTCACCTATCTCCTCCTCCTACTCTTCCGTCCTCCCTCGTCCCCCCTCCTCCTGCTGTCCTCACCCTCCCATCCCTCCTCCTCCTCCTCCTTCTCCCCCTCCTCCCCCTCCTCCTCCTCCTCCTCCTCCTCCTCCTCCTCCTCCTGCTCCTCCTCCTCCTGCCCTCCTTCCGCTGGTTCTGGCATGCAGCGCTTCAGTGCGACACCATCCACTCTGCGGTTCCGAGGCGTCGGCTTGCCGTCCTTTTGTCCAGCTTTCCGTTCCGCGGAGCGGAGTGAGACGCCATCCACTCGCGAGGCATAGTGTGTCGCCAGAGCCCTTGGGGTGATGCGCTGTTCAGGAGCTCCCGGCCGTATAGGGAGAGACAGAGGTTTGCACATGTGAGCAGCACGGCAGGCCACACTGAAGACACCAGATCGGTAAGCTGAACATGCAGCGCCACCTACTCATAATGGAGGATGACGATTAATAAATGACCGGGGGTCGTGTTCACGCGGCGGCGCCCGGGATGACGATTAGAGAAAACCGGCCGCGGGCTGGAAACATATTTTCTTTAAACGTTCTCATCCAGTGCGAAAATTGTGCAGAAATGACAGAAAACTATTTTTTTAATCGATCCCCCTTCATTTTTTAATTACTCGTCATCCCGCATTACGGTCAATTCACACATGCGGTCGGCGATGGGAAGGCAGCGTGCGATGTGGCGTCGTCGGCTCGCTTGCTGCGCGCTGTCCCCGCCGTGGGGTTGCGTGCATTTCAGGAAGCCCCGGCAGGGGGACAGCGTGCGCGGAGGGATCGCCTCAGAGGGTACCGCACACGGAGGAATCATTACACATGTCCGGGGATGGCGCACATGTTGGAGAGTAGTGCTGCACGTTATCTTTGCGACGCCGATCGTAGGTTGGTATTGCTCACACCGGCAGCTTCTTTTCGGCTCGCGGCAGCAAGATACCCGTCGCGGTCGAAGCTACGATGGGTTGCCCCTTGTCGCACGGCACTTGCCGCGGAGGGAAGAAAGAGGAAGGCAGCCACCAACGCACACACACAAACCCACACACACACACACGCACACACACACACATACACATCACACACACACACACACACGCACGCACCCACGCACGCACGCACGCGCGCGCACACACACTACAGGTGCTCCTGTTTGGGGTTTGTCGAACACGTGGCGAGATCCGAACCCTACCCCTTATCGGTTCAGGAGAAGCGATGGTTGGGGGGGCGGAGCGTTCGGATGTCGCCACCTGTGTTTTTTCCCTCTCTCTCTATATATGTATATATGTACATATATACACATGTATACATATATATGTATATGTATATATATATATATATATATGTATATGTACACATTGTATATGTGGGTGTAAATCCATGTATGTTTGTGTGTTTTTTTTATATTTTTATATATATATATATATATATATATATGTCGGAATTGGCACCGTCCCGACGGCAGGAGGCAGGAACGGGCCTATCGCGGCGCCGTTGGTTCCGAAACCTTTCAGGTGCGAGCCAGGCTCACTGCCTTGCTCGTTGCGCGCGCGCGGGGCGCGGGCGCGGGGGTCCACGCAGGTTGTGGCCCCTAGGCAGCCTCGCCTGGGAGCCAACATATCTACTGGCCTTGTGGGCCCAGCTACCAGCCCGCCGGGCCCAGAGTCCCGGGGCGGCCCGCACTCCCGCTGAGCACTAGTGGCTGCTCTGCGGGATGCTGCCCCTGGCCGGGCCATGGTTCGGCGCCGTGGCCGGCCCGGACTTTTTGGATCTTTTCGAGCTTCGCTCCGGCGAGATCGTGGAGGTCCAGTGCTGGGACGACGCAGGCGACGAGCAGGGCACGATGCTGCTCGAGGTAACCAGCACGGCTACCGCTTCGGCGAGGGGCCAGTGGTTCGAGGCCGAGTGCATCGCTGCGAGCGACGAGTACTGCGACTAGTACATGCGGGAGTCGGCGGACTGGCCGCCCAGCCCCGCTTGGTACCACCTCTGCCGGGGTGAGGCGGCCGCATGCCAGACCGTCAAGGCTTGTGCCGCCTACGCTCGGCATTTCGCTTGTGTCGGGGCGGTCCCCAGGGCGGCGCTGGCCCCGGGGGCGACCGGTTGGGCTGGTAGGGAAGTTGCCGCCGAGCACGTGGAGGAGGTTTTCGGCAACTTCGATGGGGGGCGCCGGGAGGTTCACCCGCAGGGGGGAGCCCCCGCAGGCGGAGACCGCGGCGAGTTTTCCGACGGCGAGCTGGACGAGCAGCCGCGGCAGCAGCGGCAGCCAGAATAACCTCCAACGGCACGGCTGCGGCAGCTCCTGTCGCAGACCAACTGGCATCTCTACGTCGTGACCTTGCTAATGAGCCTCGCGGGAAGAGGCGCGAACGTTCGGGTCACCCTCCGAAGGGCCGAGGGGGCCATGGGGGCCCAAACGTGCCAGGCCTGTTCGGAGGGACGGCCCGGTCCCCGAGGCGCGGTGGTCGT